GCTACTCAATCTCTGTGTTTCAGTTTTGGTCATCTGCAAAATGCAGTTGAGAATAATAGTACATATCACAGAGAACTGCTGTAAGAATTAAATGAGTCATCTGTATACAGTATAAGCATTTATCATGGTGCTTGTAGCTAGTGACACAGTAATCACTCAATAGTAACCTGGCTATTTTCAGACAAACAGACCTCTTTGGAAAGATTAGCTGGTTGTTCCCTAAGTTTAGAGAACCACCGAGTCTGTTCTGAGTCAACCAAAGTGTCAACACCATATGGAAGTAGGCTATTAATAAAACACACAGTGTTATTGCTGACTCAAACTAAGCATAATAAACACCATAAATAACTTATTAGAAGAGGCTCCATGCAAGCTGCCTGTCAAATCAGTGAATTTTTAGGAATAAAAGGAGCCTTTAGTCCAATCCCTTCATTTCACAAATGGAGCCCTATGACAATTATGTGTCCTTCAACACAACCTGGCAAGAACGGGATTGATCCACCAAAGACAGAGAAAATAGATTCTGTTTAACTTAAATCAGGGCCATTGATCCTAGACTTGATTTTAATACATGTCCATAGTTAACACATCACTTTGCTGATAGGCAGTTTCACATATGGATATATGTATATAAAATTCAAAAACATGCTCGCCCATATGTTCACACCTAAACTTTTGCCAATGTTTATCAAAGATGCAGTAGCATCTATACTGACTATTCTGATTCATAATTTTGACCAAGGTTAGTTATGATGTGTGTGAGAGTACATGGAAAAATTATATAGTAAACAGAGAGAAAACAGAGTCACAACAAAACTGACTGGAACCCTCATTAATTACTTCCTCTCACATTAGTAAGTTCAGTGAAGTATTGTAAGCAGACTATCCACCAGATAAAGGAGATTATCGCTATACTATGGCAAAACAAGAAGGCTTTGCTAATGGGGATGTAAGATTATGGATTGAAATGGGGTAAGTAAGGTCCCTTAGCAATTCACATCCATGTAGAATCTTGTAATATGACTTTACTAGGAATAAGGGTCTTTGAGATATAATTAGATAAGGTTTGACAAAATTATACTAGGATTAGGTAGAATCTAAAACCAGTACGAGTGTCCTTATAGAAGACAAAAGAACGCATAGGAGTAGGTGACTTGGAGAAGAGGAAGAGACTGGAGTGATGTGTCTATAAGCCAGTGAGTGCCACGGATTACTGGCAAACTCCAGGAGCCAGGAGGGAGACATGGGGTAGGTTGATTGGGCAGGGATGGGGAACCTGGAGCGTAGGGCCACATGTGGTCTTCTGCATCCTTGAGTTTAGCCTTTTAAACAAATCCAGATTTTATAGAACAAATCTTTTTAATAAAGGGATTTGTTCTGTGAAGTGTGGATTCAGGTGAGGGGCCACCCTTGGAGATTTGGAGGTTGTAGTTTCCCTACTCCTGCTGAAGCCTCCAGAAGGAACCAACCTGCTGATACCTTGGTTTTGAACTTCTGGATTTTTGAACTATGAAGGAACAATTTTGGTTGTTTTACATCATATAGTTTGTAGTCCTTTTTATCAGCCCTAGGAAACTATTGATCATGAGGATCAAAAACTATTGATCATGAGGATCAGTAACTTTTTACCAGCTTACATCTGATTATAGAAAAACATAGGATTTGCTTCTAGACAAATTTCATCTAAAAGGAAATTCAAGAGTTGGTTAATGCCTCTGTGGTAGGGAGCCTTCGAGATGGCCCTTGGGTATTCATGCCTTATGGTATTCACACCCTTGTGTGGGACCCTCTCATAACGAATGTGGCTGATGTGCACAAACAAGAGGACATTGTGGAAATAACAGAATGTGACTTTCAAGGCTAGGTCATAAAAAGCATAAAATCTTTGCTCTCTCCTGACTCATTTGCTTGGGAGAAGCTAGTCTCCATGGTAGGAGCACACTCAAGCTGTGTTATAGAAAGGGCTACATGGTAGGGCCCTGAGCACCCACCTGTCAGGCATGTCCTTGAGCCACCTTGTGACTGGAGCCTCCTCCCTAGTCAAGCCTTCAGGTGACTTTGACCCCAGCTGACATCTCAACTGTAACTTCATGAGTGGCACTGAACCAGAATCACCTAGCTCAGCTGTATCCAGATTCCCAACTCAGAGTGCAAGGAGGCATGCATATTATTTTTAAACTTTAAGACATTTGGGGAAATTTGTTACACGGCAAGATGTGACTAATACAGTATCTGCTAATAAAACAGAACTCTTGGCTTCCTTTCCTAAAACAGGTTTCTGCTAAGTCTTCCTCACTATTTGGCTTACATGAAAAATGGTCACTGGATTCCTTTCTCTCCTCTCACAATAAATTCAGCAAGTTCTGTTAGTGTTTCCTACATAGTAACTCCTGCCTCAGACCTCATCTCACCGGCTCTACTGTTCTTCCCTAGTTTAATCCACCACCATTTCCTCCTGGATGATCTCAATAGCTTCCAAGCTGTCTCGATGCTTCCAGAATTGCACTTTAAAAGCTATTATTAAATATTTGGTAAATATAAGTGACCATTTATGACACATAGTGATAGAGAAAACACCAAAATGAACATTGGCATGCCTACCGCTGACTTTGAGGAAACATTACTTTAACATTACCTTTAAAACTTTCTCTCTGTGTGACCCCACCTTAAGGCTTCCTACTCTCCTGAATTCTGTTTCCATTCCTGTGTTTTCCTCTGAAAGGTTTTTGTCAGTATATGGCTTAGTTTTGCCTGTCTTTGAGCTTTATGTAAGTGGGATCCTACTCGACTTGCATTTTAAATTTAATATTATGTTCCTGAGATTCACCTATGTTAATGTGTCTGATTCATTCCTTTTTACTGCTGTATAGTATTCCTTTGTTAGACCACACATCCACCTATTCACTCTCATTCTTTCAAAAACATAGTTATTATTGCACTTCCTAGGCTAGTTTTCTTCATCTTTTTTTCACTGCACTTTTTTTCACGCTCCTTTCCATTGTATATAATTCTTATAATTTCTCTATCTCATCTATGGTAATATAAATACATCAGTCTTCATTGTTCTTTGAATGCATCAGAAGTGTTCTGGCCTCAGGGCCTTTGCACTGCTAGTAGTTTTGTCTGGAATCCTACCTATGGGGCTCCCTGTGACTCGCGTCTCAGCTCCATGTCACCTCCTCACAGGGCTCTCCTACAGCCCACTCTACCTATAGAAGCAGCCCCCTCCTGACTCTTCAGCCCACTCCCCTGACCCCATTACCCTGCTCTACTTTGTTCCTGACACTCATCAGGTGTCTATTCACCTGCTCATTTTTGGACTCTCTGCACTGAGATAACAGCTCAGTGCTATGTGTGCTTTGTCCCTGCTATTCCACCTATAACTAGAGACCCTGACACAGCACCTGGCACACAGTAGGTGCTCCATAAATATGGTATTTGTTGAGTGAATGAATCAATAATGGTTTGACTTAAAAAAAAGAATCAAATAAATTGGGTATTATACCTCTCCTTAGGTAAGCAGTTCAAAACTGGGAGCAACTTTTTCCCCAGAGGACACTAGCAGTGTCTGGAGACATTTTTGGTTGTCACTGGGGGGTGGGGTGGGCTTACCACTGGCATCTATGAGGAAGAGGCCAGGGGCACTGCTAAACATCCTGTAATGACACTAAATGTCTTATGATTGAGCAACAATTATCTAGTCCAAATATTTACAGTGGAGAGGTTGAGAAAACCTTCTTTAGGTTAAAAAAAAAAAAAAAAAAAGGCAGGAAAAAAGGAAGGCTTCACAAGAATCTTTTTTAAACATCTTGAAAAAATAAAATAAAAAATAACTTGAACTTTCCTCACGTTTATTTTTAAAATATAGTCAATAAGATTTGGGAGGCTCTGGAATTATTTTAAGGCATAGACAACCTAACACTCTAGAGATAGAAAATTCTTCATTTCTAGCTAGACTCAGAAGGATTCTACCGCCTGATTTTCTATGGCGCGATGAACCAATGAGCCATGACCAGGAATGAGCAGACATGGCCCGAGTTGTAATTTAGTATTTTTTTTCTTTTAAATCGCCCCCCAAATAACAAGGTGATAACACAGTACTATCATTTAAATAATAACTTTCTGAAAGGAAAAACTTCATTTTCCCAGTCTGAGAGAGATTTGAAACTTTTATTGGAGCCCACATAGCAGAACTATCTGACAAGAGGAATTTTCTAGAACAATCTCTTGTTTCCCTTCTAAATTGATTTCTATTTTCTACTTTCCTGGACAGATGGCTTGAACTGTGTTCTCACATTCACTACACTTTCTTTTTCTTTTCTTTTTCTTTTTCTTTTTTTTGCAGTTTTTGGCAGAGGTTGGGTTTGAACCCACCACTTCCAGTATATGGTGCTGTCGCCCTACTCCTTGGGACACAGGCGCCAACCCATTCACTACACTTTCATTGACCCATTCTGTGCCTAGCCCTGGGCATATATTGTGAACTGAGAACATTTTTTAAATCAAGGATCCTTTTTGTTTTTTTCTTAAAGAGACAGGATCTCACTATATTTCCCAGGCTGGTTTTGGACTCATGGACTCAAGTGATCCTCCTGCCTCAACCTCCCCTTATCTGTAGCTGGGACTACAGATAAGATCTACTGTACCAGTTTAAATCTACCATCTGAAGGTCTGAGGGATGTGGGAAATTTAAATTGTCTTCACCTGCTGGGAAAAAAGAATAACTTCATCTTGGCTCAGCCCCTCCATATAAATTTCCTTAAAAAGATTTTAAAATTAATAAATATTTTACATTTAAAAATGTAAAGCAATTTTAAAGTCTAAAAATATTTTAAAAATTCAAGTTTTAAAAAAGACAGACCCATTTAAAAAGTAAGTTAAAATTTAAAACATTTTTTTCAAAACATTATGTGTCTTTTTAAGAAGGCTTCCTGCTGAGCATTTGAGAAGAGGCTCCCTGAGCGTGTATATACTTTGGTATTTTGGTGTTTTTTTGTTACCTGGAGGAATGTGTGGGCCCATAGCCTTGCTCTGACTTTCAGGACGGCGCTCTCTCCTCCTCCTAATCGTCCCACCACACAGGAGATTTGTAAACACTCAATATTTGTGCAATTCTGCAAAAAAACAAAAAACAGGAGGAGCACATCAAGGTCTGTAACTAGTGGCAGGCAATCAACACAGAAGCCTTTTATTTCATCAGAAGCCTTATTCATAAAATATTAATTTCAATAAAGAATGATACATTGAAACAACTAAGAAAACACAGTGGAGTACTAATGACACGTCACCTTTAGCAGTAACAGAAAGTGGGATACAAAATGCAAGGTCAAATTCAGCCTCATTTTAACAACATCTGATGCTGGACTAAACAAGTCCAGATATTAGACTCAACGGTCCTGACCCACTGACAAGCATTTGTGCCATGACATCCTTCTCTGTGTCAAAATTACTTCTGCTTGTAAAGGAGCTCCTCCTGGGAGTTCATTAGTCTCATTAATCTGTGTGCTTAACTAGTTTCCACGGTTGCCCAGGGTGTAATGGGCGACCTTTAATATCTGAAGCTCCTCTTGCACGAGTACCTTCCAACCTTTAATGTCCAGAAGGTGCTCATTAATGGTGACGTTCTGTCTATCAAATCGGATTGTCACAGATAGGAATTCATTTTGTAGCCTCTGCTTACTTTTCCTGTCCCTAGCACTGAGACATGAAAACAAACACATCCCGGTCCCTTTTCCGTGTGTCACGCATGGAATATACTTCTCTATACTCCCTCATGGACTCGAATTCACCTTGTAGCCCGGGTTTATTTATTCTTACTGTGTCATGAACTGGACACTAACCTGCTGGTGCTCCTGCAACAGTCAGTTTGCTGAATATTATGGGAAGCAGTGGACTGAGTCACTTCACTTTGTCAAAACACTAACCCGAGGGACACGCTACCGTGAGAACCTTCTGTGAGATCTCAGGGTTCTCTGCAAAGTGGGTCGTGATGCATGTCTGATAAATTCCAGGAAGATTGATTTTTACATGACATTTCCAAATACATGGCCTGTCCTTGCACTACCAGGGCTGGGCGCTGCGGTCCCCACAACAGAAGCAGGGATTCTTAAAGCCTGGTGGTTCGTGGCTCCTGGGAGGACTGTCACGTGTACCTGTGTTCCATGACTGACACGCTCATCCCACCAGCTGGAGGGTAGAAGGGAGCCAAGGTTCTTCGAGGCTATAAATTCCCTGGAGATGGGATCCAGTTGGCTCTGTCTCTGACTCTGGGGAAGGTGATGCTCTGAATGAGCCTTGAAGAGTTAGATGAGTTCCCTAGCAGAACGGGATGACTGGGCCATGTTTTGTTGCTCAAGAAAGCAAAGGCAGGGTATAGGGAGGTGAGGGGGACAGGTGGAGATGAAGGAGCAGCAGGGGAAAGTGATGAGGAATCTCCCCCCCCCCACCCCCCGCTGCTGAGCTCTGCTGAGAAGGCGCTAGGGAGTTGGCCATGCTTTTAAATCAAAAGGTCTGATCAGGTTTGTATTTGAGGGGGACAGGTTGTGTGTGAGAGAGAGAGGAGGGGCAGGAGGGTGACAAGCGCCTATTGCAAGAGACCAAGGGAGTGATGCTGAAGCCCTGAATGGAGGCAGCAGGAATAGAGAGAGGAAGATGCTCTTTGGAGAAGCATAGAAAGCAGAATCCCTGCTTGGGGGCTAATTCATTGAAGGGCAGGAGGGAGGGAGCTCACTGCATTAGCACTGAGACGGTGGGTACAGGTATTCCTGAGGTTGGCAATTCCAGAGAGAAGGAACATTTGCAGAGAGCGGGGGTCGTGAACACAGAAGCTTTGGATACATGAGGGCTGGGGTGGTTAACAGACATTCAGACCACCCCTCGAAGCCCTGGACACAGCGGGGAAAGATGGAAAGGGCAGGAGGCACCTCGGAATGGCTGGAGTTACAGTCACACAAGAAATGTCCCTGAAAAGGCAAAAACCAACAGGAGAGAAAAGAGAGGTCTGGAGAAGGAGCCTAAGGTGCAGGGGTGTTGGACAGCGGTCAGAGAGAGAAGTCTTAGAAGAGAAATTCTAAGAGGGGGCTGGTCAAATGTAGGGAGAGAAGCAGAAGAGGTGTTTTGGAAGAATTTGAGGGATGTGATAATTTGAGGAAGTGGCCAATAGTCCCACAGTCTGGAAGGAGGTAAGTCAGGTAAGACGCTGTAAGCTGAGCCAGGAGGGGAAGAGGGACAGTCTGGATGGAAGGGAGATAGATGGAGGCCACAGTTTCAAAAAGCAGCAGGCAGCCACGAAGAGACAGGAAAGAAAATGGTTAGGTGGAGGAGAAATCATTTCCCTGTGTGATCGGTATGAATTTTTCTTATGCAAATTGGAAATTATGATCCCAGCACGGATGTTGGCATTTTGCAAGTTCAGATTCCTAATCAGAAATGTGATTCAGTAAGTTGTTTTTAACTAAACACAAACTGTAGGAGGTCTTATTTAGCTTTGGATTTTAGAATAAACTTGGCATAATCACTCTCTCCCCAGAGTTGTTTTGACTTGAGGACATGTCGAGGCAAATGACTCCCCATATGTGAACCCCAACGAGAGAAAAAGAATAATACCCCAGAGGACAGACTCAGATACAGAAATCAAGGATCACCTCGGCCCTCATCTGGGAGTAAGTAACCTTTCTGTGATCATCAGAAGTCAAAAAATTATCTGACATACAAAATATGAAATGAGAAACAAGAGAAGGAAAATATTTGGCTCTGCAATCCAAACGCATACAAGTTTCCAAAGAATTTTAGTTATTAATCCCCACTGCCTCGGTGTACTCATGAATGTACAATGAAGTAGAAATTGAAAAGCATTTGAATCTTGATTTTTCAAATGTTTAGTTCCACATGGGTAGAGCACGTTAGCATTCTACAGATGTCAATTTTTGTTTTCTATTCTATGGTTCCCCCCAGAACCTTTTTTAAAAAGGATAATATATGGAGTTTTATTAATGTATTCTAAAAGAAAACACATACAAATTTCTTCCCTTTACAGTTTTTAAAAAGCATTGTCATAAAAAAAGTACAGGTCCTTGAATCATAATTTTCCTATTGTCCTAACTTACTGCCATGTAATTTCAGATACTTCTAATAAATGCTCCTTAGTTATAAGTTTTACTAGTTTTTTAAATTAAGTCATCGCTGTGTACATGAATGCAGTCATGGGGTACAATGTGCTGGTTTTATATACAATTTGCAATATTTTCATCAAACTGGTTAACATAGTCTTCATGGCACTTTCTTAGTTATTGTGTTAAAACATTTATATTCTACATGTAGTAAGTTTCACATGTACCCTTGTAAGATGCACCGTAGGTCCCACCAACTACTCTCCCTCCACCCATCCTTTCCTCTCCCCTCCAGTATCCAATGTACTCAGTCCTACTATGAAACTAATTTACAGCTTTCATATCAAAGCTATAATCCAATTATAGCCTAAGAATATGGGGAAAGGAGTAAGGGAGTTTCACTGATTATTTAAGCTAGACTTGGTTGATCATTGCAATTTCCTGTCCATCTCGTGTTTGAAACATGTTTTACTGTCAAGGTGAAGTAAATGAATGTCAGAGAATGTTTAAGACACTTCTTTTAAAGCCATTTTAAATGCTTTTAAGTGTATAATGCAGTGGCATTCAGTGTATTGACAACATTGTACAATTATCACTCCTGCCTAACTCCAAAGCTTTTCTGTTATCCCAAACTGAAAATCTGGTTCCTGAAAACTTTCTATCAGTGACACATTAGGACTTGCATCTACTTCACCTAATATCCTAGTACGGTAATAAAAGCTTTTCCGCATGATGGTGAGATAGTCAGAATTTTCAGGACTGAGCAGTCCAATATGGCGTCATCCTACCTTGTTGGACTGATATACATGATTGGGATTATCAGAGGTTTTTATGTTTTGCTATGCTTTTTTTTTTTAAAGATACTTAATTCAAGGTAAACATGGGAATTCATGAATACAGAGGAAATCCATTTAGAACTTCCCTGGTTCCCCACATGCCAGCCCATTTTGTCTTCCTCAAAACTCACATGGCTTCTCTGTGTCCTCTGATAGCTGAGACAGGGACCCCCCTGGATGGATTTTCCTGGGCTCTGAACTCAAGGAGAGGCAGGTGCTTTGGGGAGGGGGGTGTTCTTCTGGGGCTTAGGTCCTTATATATTCTGCCTTTGGGTAACAAAAAGAATGAACTACTCTTTCTGGCTAATGCCTCTCTGGGATGAAACCAATGATCCTGTTAATTTGTATCTGTGTTTCCTGAGTCTGGAAGGCTAAAGACAATACTTGAAGTGAAAACCATCTGTCCTTGGGAGTTCTGTCCAGTGCAATGTTTAACTCACCAGGATCTTTGCCGGGCTTTGTCTGTGGAACTCAAACGCGGGCACGTCCCTCTTTCTGACAAGATGAGGGATGGTGGAGTTTCTCAAAAAGGCGCTAAGCTCAGGGGTGTCTTCTGGGGGAGCCGCGGGCTGCAAACACAAAGCAGGAGATGTCAGACACAATCGCACGAGCGTCATTACCTTTTCATTAACCTTGACCTCCAGGTAATATTTTTTCCTCAGTGGAATATGGTTCAGGTGACAATTCCCACACGTTATTGACCAGCAGCACGTTCAACAGCAAAACGACCTGCGCTGACAAGGAACAAGACTTTCTGTTCTCCAATGACAGCAACTCATGAATCTGGAGGAATGCATTCCTGGGAAGTTTATCTTGTACAGAGAAGATTTTAAGCAGAAGTCATTTCCCCTTAAGGAAGGAAAAACGCAGAGGCGACTTTTTAGGAGAGTCATTATTCTGTTGTTACTTTCCTCCCATCAGAGAATGGGGCTGGTTAACTGAGGAATAGTCTGTGTGGGGAGGTGGATCCTGAGCTGGTAGAAAACTGAGGTGCCAGGCTCACTTGTTGAAACAGACTGGGGACCTGACATCCACATGGCTGAGCCCCTGTTCCTGCACATATAAGATGTGCTCCTTCCCGGTGGTGCCTGTGGCTCAAAGGAGTAGGGCACCGGCCTCCTGTGCCAGAGGTGGCGGGTTCAAACCCAGCCCTGGCCAGACACTGCAACCACAACAAAAAAAGAAGTGCTCCTTCCAAAGACAACCACATCCTCATGAAAACGTCTTTCCCAAAGCACGCTATAAGCACGTCATGCCGGAATGAACCTTATTTTCAGCCTTGAGTTTGTATTTCAAAGTGTTCTAGAACACAATGATTTTATCTCAGGTACCACGCTGGGTACATCTGAGGGCTCAATAAATATTTTGAGAGTTCCGATAAATCACACATAATTATCCCATTAACATTCTTTATTTCAGTCCCACGGAATATAAAAAGCTTGCTTTCTGCTCCCCGCTGCCACTGAGAATGATGTCTTCCTTGTCACAGTTTCTCTTTATGCTCAAGGCCGCCGTTGTAGTAGCTCATCTCTATGGAATGAAACAGAGACATTCCTACATTGCAGATGTAGGGGGCACCCGCCCCCCAAGATGCAGTGATAGCGCTCAGTAGGTCAGAAGGACCTGGGAAAATCTACAGACGGACAGATAGACGGAGTCCAGACTCGTCAGGAGGGCGCACACAGGTCCTTATGTGCTGGCAGTGTCCTTTGTTTCTCCACACTCATCTGTCACCAAGAGCCCTGTGACCGGCTCCCTGCTTTTCTTTGCTGACTGCCCCAGGCACACTCGCAACACTCTGGCTGATGGTCCCCAAGCTTGCCCTGGCGCCACCTGTCCCTGTCCAGCTGCACCATAGCTGCCTGCTACCTGCTCTGAGTTGTCCAGTGGGAAAACATAAAATGCAAAGCGTAGGGTCACATACAATCTCCCAGGACATGCCGGGAAACAGGGAGATAAAGACGATTTGAGAAGGAAAAGTCATATAAGGACATCAGATGTAAGAGGCAATCCAGGAAAGAGTGGCTTTGTGGAACCTAAAGAAAAGAAAATTGCAAAAATAATGGCAGGCTAAGAAGGCCTATTCCTGCAGAGGCACAGAGCAGGCTGAGGACCAACAGTACGCATTGAATTTGCCCATTAAGAAATTACAGATGGCTCGGTGCCATGGCTCAAGTGGCTAAGGCGCCAGCCACATACACCTGAGCTGGTGGGTTCGAATCCAGCCCAGGCCTGCCAAACAACAATGACAGCTGCAACCAAAAAATAGCCAGGCATTGTGGCAGGTGCCTGCAGTCCCAGCTACTTGGGAGGCTGAGGCAAGAGAATCACTTAAGCCCAGGAGTTGGAGGTTGCTGTGAGCTGTGATGCCACAGCACTCTACCCAGAGCAACAGCTTGAGGCTCTGTCAACAACAAAAAGAAATTATGGACACCTCTCAGAGAGTGTTGGGAGGAGCTGAGGATGGGAGAGAGATGACTATAAGATGTGTGATGGGAACGTGAATCTTCTGAAGATGCTCTTTTAAGGTAACAGTCATGGCAGAGAGACAGGGAGGAGGTAGAGGAAGGGGAGTGAAGGTTCGGAGAAGGCAACGAGGAGAACGGGAAGGAGTGATCAGACGGAGTGATCAGACGGGCAGACTTTCCCGTGACGCTGGCTGTCCCGTGAGCATTTAGCATCAATCTGCGATGATGGTACCATCAGGACAACGGGTAGAGCAGCCAGACCATGGAACTGTGTGTGACGGAGATTTTCAGAGTTTGGGAGAAGGGAGGTTAAGGGGGCTTGTAAACGGGTGTTCCATGGAACACATCAGGGATTCCAGGTTTGGCCAAAGGAAGTCTTGAGAGCCGGTGGGTGGACTGCCTCCTGCCTCAGGGAAAGTATTCATACCAAGGAAGAAAAAGCCCAGCAGAAAGAGGAAGAAAAGCAACATAAAAATAGGAGATTGAATTGGAGGAGAGAGGGGTGCTGAGCGGAATGTCTCAGAGGCGGAGCTGCCCAAGTGATGGTGAAGACCAGTGGCTGAAGCCCTGGGATGATGGAGTGCGTGGAGGTGAGGACTTAGACGGGCCAGGTCTACAGGTGGTGGAACATTCTAGGACCATAGCAGGGCCTGGCATAGAGAGGAGGATGAGCCCAAGGGTTGCTCATAGACACTGAGTGATGGAGGACCCCACAGAAAAGCCTTTACAGCATAAGATAAAAAGTGAGCTCACCAAATGGAGAATGGTGAAATGCCTAACCTCCCACATGCACGTGCCTCCTATTGTATAATCTGTGTGTGTGTGAGCATGCACACAGGGGTAGTTTGTGCTTTGAGATGAATCATGTGCCCCTTTGTTTTTCTTTGTAGGTTGCTAACAGTTACACTACAGAGGCTAACTCTGTAGGTAACCACAGAGAAAAAGTGCTGAAAAGAACTAGGGAATCATTCCTTATTCTCACGTTATAGTCTAGTATTAATAGCAATAATAGGAGAAGTAAAATGATGTCCCTCAAAGATGAAAACTCTAACTTTCTATGTGTTTTCACTGGGTAAATCTTGTGTCTAAATAAAGAACCCATTCTATTAGGGTGTTTCAAATATTTATAAGTCATCTCTCAATAAAGCCCAGGGCTTACTCCGAGCTCAAGAATTAACACATCCCATATCAGGATTGATAAAACATGTCTTTTTTTTTTCTTTTTGTAACATATTTACAAAGAAAGGAATGCTGTTTTTAAACACATGGTCTTCAAGTGGCTTGCAGACCAGTTTCCTCACATGGTATTCCAGAAATTATTTCAAAAACCAAAACACAGCAAGCAGAATTGAAGAAGTTATCCAAGAAATGTAAACAATAGTTCAACCCATTTTCCAGAGGCACGCTTGGGGCCTCTTTCATTACATGACTGCCGATGAACCCACAGTTCATGGTTTTCCTTTACAGCTGGAGGGGGGCCGACCTCTTAGCAAGTACCCACATTATACAGACACTCAGCTCTGAGGGTAGTTTTTTTAAAATTTTTTTATTAAATCATACCTGTTACATCAATGCATTTATGGGGTACAGTGTGCTGATTTTATAGTTTGGAATGCTTACATCAAACTGGCTAATATAGCCTTCTCCTCACTTAGTTAATTGTTGTGTTAAGATATTATACTCTACTCTTAATAGATCTGACATGTACCCTTGCAATGTGCACAGTAGGTGAGGTCCCACCAATTACCCTCCCTCCACTTCACCTCCCCCCTCCCCTCCTTCATAAACACTCTGGGAAGCTGGTGATTAATACTAACGTATCTTCATCCGAGCAAATGAAAATGGCTTCCTTCCCCAATAAGGAAATAACTGTTGGTAAAAATACTTCTTTCTCTGGCTGTTACTCAGAATTTGATCTCCCCCGCAAAGAGTTTTCTATTTTCATACCTCTTCATCGAACTCTTCACTCTGAGATAGGTTTACATTTTCAGATTAAAGGGATACTGTGTAGCTGGAATGTGCAGTACAGTTGGAAATTCAGCATTTGTAGAAAAGGAGTGGATGAAATCAGATAAAGGGCACTGCAAATCCCAACAAAAGCCTGTATACTGTCCTTTTCTTGTTTCTAATTTGGATTTCAGGTACTCCTAGCCCACAAGAAATGGTAGACCATGCTCCTGTTACTTCTTCATCTATAATTAAAACTAAGTTGAGACGAGCTGGGGGCCGGGGGAGGTCAGTCCACCATGTAATTTTCTTTAAGACATACATGTTGAGAATTTGCAGGGAAAGCAAAACCCTACTTCTCTTTTTACCTTCTGAATAGTTCACGCACAGCATAACCGAAAGAATCAACTCCCTCCATTCGCGATGTTGAAGCTTTTCTTAGTCATTTGATTTGGGGCTTTTACATGTTAAGATACACCTCATAGGTGCTAATGTGAAGACCATCTCAAAGAAAAGACAAGGCAAAAAGAAAGGGACCCCAGCGTGCATAGTCTGTCTTTGGTGGTCTACAGGCACTGTTAAGAGAGAAGGTGAACGAAAGGTATCCACCACGGCCAGCGTTCCTGCAGGACAGAGAAATCGTCTGACCACTGGGGGGTCAGATCCAGGAGCAGGCTGTGGTTGCCACTAGCACAGAGCATAAAAAGAGGAAGAATATTAAAGTAGGTTCTGCTCTTCTCAGCTCCTCATCAGCCCTCTTGAAACAATAAACAGCTAGGAGTTTTTCCTGGAAGGAGAGTTTCTAGTAGAAGACCAAGCATTAAAGGGGGCAAGTAACAGACATCAAATAATGCTTTAGCTATGAAATTATGGCTCCAATGTTTAAGGTCCTCAAAATGATTCAAGAAAGAAATCAGTAGTTAACAGTCAGGTTATACTAAATAGTCTTATTCCTTTTGTGCTTTCATTTTTAAGGGATGTGTGTGTGTGCGTGTGCGTGTGCGTGTGTGAGGGTACTGAGAACTGTTGTTCTAGTAACAAGTGTGTCGGGATTCTGAATTAATAAAAACCAAATAAAAGAAGGCAGTTATGAAGGAAGAAAGTATTCTTAAGGATAAGACAAAACTATGCAAATGTGCCAAGCCAAGCCACTG